ACCCTCCCCGTGTCCATGCCAGACCCTCCCCGTCCACACCAGACCCTCCCCCTGTCCACACTAGACCCTCCCCGTGTCCATACCAGACTCTCCCCTGGGCTTTGTGTCCAATTTCTCATCCAAGGACTGTCTGTGGGGCAGCCGTCATATTCCAGGATCAGTGCGGGCTCGGGGAGCACAGAACTGACCAGAACAAACGAAACTTATGATTTACTGGGAGGTACAATCAATTAAAAAGATAATTTTAAACAGAGTGTGACAGATTTATTCAGGCCTCAAAACAAGGAGAAAGACACTGTGTTTTCCCTTTTTCTCTTGCTGTCAGAACCACAGGGGTTCCCACCTGCTCAGTCCCCCACACCCCACCCCTCTCTCACATGCACTTACCACAGCTGAGACTAGGGATAAACAGCTGCTTAACTCATAAGCGTTGTCCAAGATGACTTCAGAAGTCACGTCCATAGGTGATCATGGGAGACCAGATTCTCTGCCAAATCACCGGCTCCTTAGTCACAGCCTGGACTCTGTCAGACCTGCTTTACTTATTAATCATTTGCTTAATACCTGGCAAGACTCAGCTGTTCCGATGAACTTGGACACAGCCACCGTGAAATCACTGGACTTCTTTTCCCTCTGCAACAGTTCTGAGATGATATCACCTCGTTAGTGTGTGGGTGATGCCTCTAAGCACTGCTGATGTTCCAGATCATCTGCTTCTTTTATCACGTCAGAGAATGGGAAGGATTGCATCATGGTTCAGCTCAGACTGAAGCTCAGACAAGACAAACCCTGCAGCTTCTCGGCGGTGGGAACCTCTACGTGAATTTCCCAGCCCGTGACCTTTCCACTTTTTAGCACTTGTTCTCAATTAAGGATCCACGATTACTTTTTAAGCCCCCAGTTCCTGGTATTGGCCTGTCGATGTGTACACACACGAGACAGCAGCGCTCCAGAGAGACGTGTGCTGTACAAGCCGAGACTGGACACGTCCATCCGGAACGAGGCAGAAGAGACTTTCTGTATTACTGAACACAAAGTATCTTACAGCTC